TGGACTTCTACATCACATATACAAATAAGTTTAACAGATTTACTTTTTTTTTGACAAAGTTATGACTCAAACGGATGTTTTCTTAACAAGAACGTATTTCATGTGGACCTTCTTCTACCCATGAAATCTTTACTTTTTCTAGGTCGTAAGTACGCCATGAGATTGTTTAAAGCATCTCTCAGGGCTTTGTTTCGAGTTATCTCGTTATGACATTTTTGATTGCTGTGATATCATTACTTGTCTTTTTTTTGCACATAAAAATCATATGAAAGCATCAGTTGTTATTCTTCAAAATTTACTGATATGAGTAATTTGAAAATAGTATTAAAAATGAATCGTCTGATGGATGTATGTGTGGATGTTAATCTTTCCTTCATTCGTATCCACACCCACACCCATCCCATATTTCAATTAGAAAAAGTCGACCAACATCGATTTTAACGAGCTGTAATATCAATCATTTTTTATTAAGAAATAAATAAAAAAATTTGAAATACTTTAGTCCAATGGAATGATAAAAGCAATTGTCGATAAAACGTTTATAACTGATCCGAATGTTGAACGATGATTAGCATTTGAAGCTGAACAAGATCCAATGAATTTCGATCAAGAGCAAATATGACCAAGTAGACAAGATATTCAACAATCTGAACATCAATTTAAAAAACGTGTACCTACAGAAACTTCTCAATATCAAACTGCATAGTTTATTTCTGATGATGAAGATAATCAGTCTCTCAATCAACAAAATGTTTAGTTTTTTTTTTAATATTAAATATTTTTCAATATTTTAGGATTTTAATGAAGATCATCAAGAAATCATGACTGATTATGCTGATGATCTACAATCAATTAAACTTGATCAACAAGAACATGAAGAAGATGAAGATGAAGAAGAAATGGATGAGCTTTTTATGAATCGAAATAATTATGATGAAAAAACAGATTTAGAAGAAGATCAACAAACGTTTGTTTTATATATCTGATTATATTTATTTTATTAAAATATTTAATTTAGTTTAAAAAAATTGAAAGAAGCTAAATTAGATGAACAATTTCCTGGCGAAGTTGATACACCAATGGATGCTTCGGCTCGTGTTAGATTTCAAAAGTATTTCATGTTTTTCTTTGGTTTTATATTTATCTAATTATATTTTATTGTTCTGATAAAGATATCAAGGTTTTAAAAGTTTTCGAAGAACAAAATGGAATCCAAAAGAAAATTTATCATATGATTATGGAAGAATTTATTAATTTCCTAATTTTTGTACTATGATTAAACAAATTAACAGTAAACAAGAATACAATCAACATAAACAGGATCATGCTCAGGTTAAACTTTTCCTTTTAAATATATGTATATATGTAGTTTTATCAATCAATTAATTCATCAAGAGATTTTATTTGAAGAATTTTTTAACAATTATCCTTAAAAAATGATTATGTGCGTATCATATAGAAATATTCTTTTGTGCTTTTTCCTATTCTTCTAGAGTTGGTTTTATGTTTAAATTTATTGTGAATAGATTTTCATAAAAAGAAACAAATATTTAATAATGTTGACAATGAATTTGTTTTGTCATCATTGACATTTATTAATCATCGAAGTTTTATCTGAGTGTCAGACAAAGAGAGAAGAGATGCGGAGTGATTGTTCTTTCCTTGAAAATTCTTTATCGATTTTTCTCAGCAGAACTACGATCGTCTCTATTTACCAAAATCTAAAATCTAACACTGTTTATCTCTAATTAATTGCGAATACTAGTAAAAGATAATCCATCTGATTATTTTCAATAAGATTTGTTGAAAGTAGTTGCGATCGTCTTCTCAAACTAAATTTTGAATAAGTTTAGTAGATTGATAATATTGTCGAATTAATGACTAAAATCGAAATATTCTACGATAAATAGATAATTGTAGATTTCTGAAAAAAATTGATTTTATTCTTAAATGCAAATATGTTGAATAATGATGTTGATCAGAATTGAAAAGAAAAAAAATGTTTTTGACAGTGACCTATCATCATTAGTCAACAAATAATAAATTGTTTTTTCTAAATAAGTTTGTTTCTGACCAAAGAACAAATTTTATGATTGATCAAATGAATAATTCAATCTATTTAAATCAAAATCTGACTATCTATTACGACTTTTTTTTCAAATAAATCTTTTTATTCAATTTTGAAGCAAAACATAAGTATTTGACTGAGCTTGACAGTAAAAAAAAAGGAAGATTAGAGAGTGATAATCTGATTGTAATCGATAGATGTTAAAATATATGATTTCGTGCAGGTAGATTTTAAATGTTTCATATATTTAAGAATGAAGAAAAGTTTTGTGTTCTATAGAAATGTAATTAACTTTTTAATAATTATATTTATCGAAGATTTATTTTTTTTCAAAGATTTTATTTGATGAAATACTTATTTTAATTTGTATATTTGTTACAGGTGCATAGTTATGTAACTTTTTATGTAAAACATGTGCCCATCAGTAGATTTGGTAAGAAAAATTTTTTTTTATAAAAAATCAAATATTCGAAGAAAAAAACTTGTTGTTATTGTTTTTTTTAAAGAACCTGCTCATCATTTATTTGTAACGGGTCTTTTACCACATGAACAGTATTCATCAGTATTAAATATTGCCTTAAATCGTACAAATGATAGTGAAATAATTGTTAAATCAAAAGAATGTCTTATATTTCATGTTGGTTTTCGTCGTTTTTCAAGTTCACCGATTTATTCTCAACATTCAAATTGAGATAAACATAAAGTTTGTTACTAATTGATTATTATAATAATTATTATAGATAAGAATATTTCGAATTAGTTTGAAAGATTTTTTTGGGCCACGACAAACTCTTGTTGCAACATATTTTGGTCCAATAACATATCTACCTGCATCAGTGTTGGCATTTAAACAATTTTCTGATGGTATTTTATTCGATGTTTTAAATTCAAAAAAAAAAATTAATTTTGCTTTTTGTTAAATAAAGGCCGTCAAGAATTAGTAGCAACTGGTTCTCTTGTTTCAGTTAATCATGATCGTATTATACTAAAAAGACTAGGGTGTGGGTGTGGATGCCCCACACCCACATCTACACCTAATCCTCTAGAACTAAAATAAAGAAACAGTTCATCTATTATTATGATATCCCATTGACGTACGGTTTTTGATCGTATATCAACAACGTCAGTAACGGTCTGCGACACCTCTTGAACTGGTTTGTCACGATCTATGACGCCTTTGGAACCGGTCTGTCACGGTCTGTGCGGGGTGGGGGAGGGAGAAAGGGTGCAAATTTCTACTCTATACACTTCAACACTCCTTTCAGATCGTGTTTCACAAAACTAAGGATTAACACTAGAGTTTTGTGCTTCTGTCGAATATGGGCTCATAAATTGTGTACCTGTTCTTTACTTCAGCGTAGTGAGGAAATCTTTGAATGGCCAAAATAAATAGTTTGGACGGAACGCTTGGGTCGAAGTTTCTCGACAATATTTTGTTTATATTTGACTCACTTGAAAGTATTCTAGATGATTTAAAAACCTATTGGAGGGTATTTGAACGCCTTGAAAAATTGCTTTGAGTGGCAAACAAACAGGCATTTGCTACCTCTGCAACTTTCTTTGCAAAAGTGCTAAAAACTGTCGGATTTGGTAAATTTGTAGAGCGAATAATTCTTTACAACTTGTCATGTCCAACGAAAATGTAGCTTTTACACACGTGAAACTATAACCATTCTCACAAGAGCTACTTCTACCTAAATCGGATTTTGATCAAAAATTCGATTTTTCTCAAATACGGTTGATAGAAAAGCAACAATTTAGTGTGTGAGTGTGGGTGTGGGTATGAATGAATGGGAGATTAATACCCATACCCACACATCCACATCCACACCAACATCCATACTCATACCCACACTACCCACACTCGTCTTCACTTAATGTCACCATTCGGACGAGATTGGCATGATGATGTTGATGTCGATGTAATGGTGCTACTAGATTCTTCTGTAATTGCTCATCTATTTTTCTATCTACATCAGCTAAGCACAACTGATGATTTACCTCGTGGTCGTATTCGTTTGACATCACTGAATCCTCTTGTTTCACTCGTACTTTCATTAATTGCACATCTTTCGCCTCATTTAACATTTCTTTATCTTAACAAATGTCAAATATCGTTGTCAAGACTTGTTGCTTTCTCTTAAGATAAACAGAAATATGTTTGTGATGTTTTAAAAATGAAAATATCATTTGCTGCTCGCATTACAATCACTGATGGTGCTAAATTGAGAATTTGGTTGTGAAAAATGGGGTGTGGGAATATGAGTTTGGGTTTTGGTATGTAATCAATCATTCTCCCACACCCACACTCACATCCTTTTCGATTTTTTGACTTAAACGGTACAATAGGAGCGAAATTCATCCATGTATATGCTCTTTTTCTTAGTCTACATGTATTGGCTTATAGCAGTCCGAAAACAATTTCACTGGGAAACGTTACTCATGTATCAATTACAACCGAGGGTATGGGCGTAGAATTTGTGGTCAGGATGAGCGAGGGTATAGCGGTTAAGTTGACATTCACCACACGAACATCTACATCCAATAACACTCACAAGATTTCACGTTCTTTCAGTTTTTTGTTTTTTATTAGAACTACTTTCCATTAAAACTAGTCCTCTCATTGATGTCACAGTCACACCCACGTGTGAATTACTTTCGATTTTGTGAAGGCTTTAAAGATGTCATGTTGATAAAAATTGCAAAAGGAAGCCAAATATGTACGCTGCAATCTAAAAGCCGGTCCAATTAATGAATTACGAAGGAAAAGAAGTAAACTACAAATATTTATTCCAATGTTCAATGGATGTCATAAACTCGTTGGTCATTATGGATGCATCAACTACATAATACTTCGGACAATGGCAACTCGAGTTTTAAAAAGTTGAGTCGCTAGTTGTTTTAGATTTTCGTGTGCCTTTTTGCAATCATCTTCGTTTTCGTCAAATTGTTGCTTAATTTCGACTAAGATACGCACCAAAACTGCTTCTGCTTCAACAATGCAATCTAATAATTCACGAATCCTTCGTCTCACATCTGTATCGGTCGAAATATTGCTGGACGAGACAATAAAAGCAGGATTATCTTGCTTTATGCACAATTTATCAATATTTGATATGTCGGGGCTAAGACGCCTTGCTTCATTTATGCATTGTTGTGCTTCAGCTGAGGCAGCTCTAGCCTGAATCAAATAGGACTTTACGGCCATGTCAGCATAAGAAGTATCAAAACACAAATCGAAGGTACCCATATTCAGTGCTTGCCCGAATGCTTCGCGAGCGACAACGATAACTTGATGAGCTTTTTCGAGGAATGATATGGCACGAGTTAAACTGTGGTGATTGTTAAGAAGAGTGACCAAATGTGCTTTTTCCTCTTTTAGTTTCTGTTCTATTGCAAATTCGTCCGGATATTCAGGCGTAGCACCAGAAAAAAAACACTCGAATAATTTTTCTAGCTCTTGTTTGGTGTTGGTATACTTTTCATAGGCATTTTGGCATTGATGCAAATACATCTGCGCTATGTGAATTTCTTGTTTGAGAAGAGACAAACGTTGTTCTTCTTCTTTACACTTTTCAAGCTCTCGCAACCATATAATCTCTTGCCGATCCAAACGTTGTTTTAGCTTACCTCGAATTTGATACCAAAGATGTCTGACTCCATGTTCCTTCAACGCGACTAAACTTTGATATTTTTTATCAGCTGCTGCGCTTAACAAATCAATATTTTCTTCCATGCGACAAGCCTGTTTTTCGAAAACTGCCAACCGGGATCTTGCTTCTGGCAATGCAGCTTCGCTCCATTGCGTATCAAATAAACTATCGAATAGAGCATGAAATTTTTTGCTCGCTTCGAGTATATGTTGTTGAAGTGGCATGACGAAATTTTCTTTCTTGTCCAATAAGTAATCGATATGGTTAACGTTCTTCTTCAAAATAAATTGATAAACCTCACATTCTATGTAACGATGTTGTTATTAAATCCTTTACTTTCTCCATCATCAGAAGGTCGTATTTATATGTGTGTTTTTTTACTTTTTTGTATTTCAATTGACGACATTTTACGACCGGATAATGGCAATGCTCATTAAAATTGATCTCTACATGAAACACAGAAATCAATCTATTCGCATGTGCCGATATGCCAATTGCCAAATCAATTTGTTTTTTTTTCTTGAAAGGAGAAACGAATAAGCACTTTGGTATAAATAGAAAAGACCAAAACAAAAAAGGTCGACACAAAAAAATGTCGAAGAAGAATGATGGAAAGATAAAAATATCAAACGTATAAAAATGTTAAAAAAGTTTAAAGATGGTTTAAATATACAATTTACTATTGAATTCTATTCTATTGGTATCTAGCATTACATTATACGACATTCTTGATAATTTTTCATTTTATGATGCGATTATTACAATAAAACGAATGAAGTGTAAAAAAAAACAAAAGAATCATCTGAAAAAATTGATTATTTAATATCGAGATATCAGTGAGTTTTCATTATAGATTTCATAGTAATTTATTAAATATCAATCACTAATGATAATCCATATTTTCTTGTGTTGAATAAAGGCAAGCCTTTACTAGTTTTAAATGGTATTATCTTTAAACAAAACAGAAACGAAAACAAAAAACTATTGAGTTTGTCAAGCAGATGACTGTAGTATGTACGTACACATCAACATTCAGGCCATTGTATTGAGAATCACTGACAATCATAATTATTTGCTATATGGAGAAAACATGCTATTAAAAAGTGGTGGTACGAAAATAAAGCGTATAATGAAAGAAACAACTGCAATCATAGAGATGTACGAAGAAGAAATTTTTGCATCTCAGATAACACCGCACATAATCAATTAAGCCATTAGCACGTGAGTTACGTAAGAACACTATATCATTAGTACACTTATATGTATATTATAAATTTCATTTTAAAATCAGGTTTGGTATATGTTAGATGAAAAATGACACCGATGTTATCTGAGCCCTATCAAACAACTCACAATAACGAAATCTTTTTAGCTCGTGACATGTTAATCCGAAGAAGAAAAAGAATGCTTTTCCTTTGTACTAAACCACAGCTAGAGTTATAGACATATACAGTATCTCGATTTAACTACAAACTATGTCGAAGATATTCATAATCGTAGACGTGTTCGAAAACCAATGGCTTCGGTACTGTTGCTATTTGACAAAGTCTAACTAGCATTTGATGAATTATGTATGAATTCATCCGACAATAACAGAAAAATGTCATATCAATTATTTTTGCATTTCGACAATCAATGAATGAAAAATATTTCATTAGCACTTTGGAATGCTATCATGGATATAGTCTGTGTACAAATAATATCTACTAAGATAACTCTTCTTTCAAACTATTCTGACGTTCATCGTTTATCCTAAGTAGGTTTTCACGGCCGTCTGAACCTACCTTTTCAAAGATAACATCGAAATATTTGATCTTTTATCAAACATCTCCAAGATGAAGAAACGAGACGTGGTTGTATGCTATTATAAGCTAATGCTCGTGCTCAAGACTGCTCAAAAAGTGCAACGACAACTGCAATATAACAACCTATTAATACTTTCAACGAACGCTATTCAATATTGACATTGACCTTAACGAATTACTAGATGGGTTGCCGTTAATTGTATCGAAACCAAACAAATAAACTTTAATAAATC